TCTGAATTCTTGGCTCCTTTGTTTTCATATGAATGTTTTACCTAGGGTTCATGGAAATGAGATAAATCCAAAGACTGGTTCTTGTGCCATCAAATAAAAATGAACCTTGTAATAAGCACAGTTTGTGTTTTTGGTGCTCAGGCATTGTAAATAAATTTATGTTCAGAGGTGCCAAGTGTAAAGTGGGAATATTCATTCATAAATCCAAAGGCTGGAATCTATGCCATTCAAAACTGCAAGGACACAAATACATTTTGGATTCTTTGGAGGATGCAGAGTTCTACATTCTTGCTGCCGCTCAGCTTTTCAGTAGAGCTGGAACTGTCCCTTCTCTTTCTCTCTGCCCTCGATCTTCCGTGTTCCTTTTTGCACTGCAAATCATCTTTACAGAGTACAGACATCACACTCACTTGTTCTGTATTCATTGCACAAAGGGAAAGAAAGGCTATGCCATCTCAAACTTGTACTGTATTCTAGCTTAAAAAAAAAAACAAAAAAAAACCCAAAACGAAACAACCACACGCCCCCCTAAAAAAAAAAAAAAAAAAAAACAAAAAACCTCAAATTTGACCTAAACATAAAAATTCACAGTTAAAATATGCTATAAACTCATGAGCTCTCACATCAGAAATAAATAATTTCTAATTCTTAAAAAGGAATCTTACTAGAATTAGGTAATCTGCAAGAAGATGTCTAAATCAGTTGTATTAATGAGAATGATAATCTCTTTAAAGTCAGGATGGACGCTTCCTGAGACTTGGCAGGACCCTAGTGAAATGAAACATTTCCAAACTCAGTTTAGGACAGAAGGAATTTAGATGCTCGTTCTGCTTTTTCTCTTCTGAAAGCAGACAAATTATCAAAGGGTTTTGGTGCCAGCAACCCTCAAATCAGGGATGATTGAAAGAAAAAGAATGTAATTTTCTTGTCTCCCTTTCTCTGACAAGTTTGCAGCAATGTGACAGCATGTGTTGCTTTAATTTATCTTTATCAGTTTTGATTTTCTGTGTCTTTCCTTGGGGACAACTGATTGGGGGGCATAAGGGGGTTAAGTATTTTTAGCAACAGTTTATTAACTCAGAATGTGACAAAGTTGTGTCATTGTACTGTGAAATTTTGTCTGCTGTGGTAAAAACCATCTTATTTCAATGTGGAATGAAGTGCCTGCCTGTTTTCATTTATGATTACTGACACTGAAATAATTACTCAGTTAAGTTCTCAATTGCAGAATCGTTTTTCATTGAATACAGATGGCTCCTTCTCTAGTCACACACTGTGTTTTCCCCACACTTAATATTTAAAATAAAATTTCACTCTTTTTGGTCTGGTGAGTTTAGTGAAGGGTAGCAAAAGTCCATGCTATCTATCTATCTGTCTGTCTGTCTAGCTAGCTAGCTAGCTCTAGATCTTTTTTTTGGTGAGGGCGGGGAGCAGTTTGTGCTGATTTGTGTGAGGCTCTGCAGCATTGGTAGAGTATGTGAGTGACACACAGCTGCATGTTTATCAGAATTGGAAAGCCCATGTCAGTCATCCTCTAGCAGTGTTCTGGCAAGCACTGCTGCTCCAGGGTTGGTATTCTGTATGGACAGTGTTACCCATGCTATAAATGGCAAAATAGTTCAACTCATATGCACACAAATTCACTTGAAAGAGACAGCTGACATGAGTCATGCTGTAAATGGGATTTGATTGAAAAACACTACTAACAAAAATTAAATAGGCTACTTCAAAATGATGTTTTTTAGGAGGACAAAACTGAATGCTTTGAGCTGTAATGACCAAGATTATCCTTAGCCTTTTTTGTTTTCTCATCCCATAACTCTGGTAGCTCTAGCATGAATTTTGTCTGAAAAAAAGAAGACAAAGGGATTAATTTTGTTTTTGTGTGGGCACCTTGTGTTAGCTTAATTATGGTAGTTCCAAGAAGTAGCTTTTTTTCCTCTAGTGTCTGAGAAAGAGACAAGATTGAAGAAAATATTTCCTGTGTATAAGGCTGTGTATTTATCCATCACAATGGAATAACCTATGAGAGTCTTCAGGTCTCTTTCCTCCTTCCCATCCCTTATTATGTTGGGGGCATATGCTAATGCTGTTAAGGTTATGTGACATGGGAAATGCCATCGTGTTTTCAGGTAGCTTTTCCCTGCCCTACATAAAAACACAGAAAGCACTGAAAGCAGTTAACGCGCTTACAGACTTCCAAGAAAAAAAAGTATCCTTTTCAGTTTGTGCACATCACAGAATCCAGGAAAATATATTGCTAAAGGACTGTCTCTGGACCCAGGCTCATTGTTTTCTCCCTTCAATAGCATAACTGCTGTTGACTCATATTTTTCTTTACGAGTAGGCTGAAGTTATGACCCATATGTTATTTAAAAATTGCTATATTATTTTCTGGCCTCAGTATCTTTTATGCAAAAAAAAAAGATGTGGCTATTTTGTGGTTCTCTTACTTTAGAAGAAGAATATAGCTTTTTCTTTTTCCCAAAGAATTGCAGTAACTTTTCTTCAATTAGTGGCATATCATTTGGGTAGGTTGCCCACAAATCTAAGAAGGATTGGAGATATCTGCTTTGGTAGTTGGCTTGTTGCCACCTGTGATCAAATAAATTGCTCTATATTGATTCATTTCAGCCGACATGGTAAATGAATTCTGGAAGAAGCACAGATATTGCCTGTATCCCAGATTTCTGCAGATGAGGGTAAAAGTTGCTTTTCCCTTCTCTCAAAAACATACCCATGAAGAGCTTAGTGTTATGTGCCATTACAATAACATTGATGGGATGCAGGGCCAGACAAGTACAGCTGCTGTCTGTGCTACAGATTAATGTCTTTAATTAGACTCTTGAAAGCTTAGCCAATAAAGGCATAAACATGTTAAAAATTGATATTTATTACATTGTAGTTTATACAGTGAGAGTCACTTCAGATTACAACATTAGCTATTAACCTAATTCCTCCAAACCGAATTGCAAGCATTTATGATGTCCTTTTTCTGAAAAACTTGTTTCTACAGAAACCTTTAGTCCTAGTCCACTGACAGCCAGCATAAAATTCTGCAAATTCTCAGGAAATTGTTGTTGTTCTTGTTTGCTGAGGGCAATGCCTTGACGAGCTAGCTGTTCACACTGCCTCTTCCAAAGCCATGTCTTTAGACTGGTGGCACTATAAATCTAATGGAACAATTTTACTATGGTGATGTTGTTTTGCCATAACTTTATTCACCTGAAACATGATCTGATCTGGAATAAAGCAAGTGGTCAAATAGATCAAAATTATTTTCCAGTTGGTCACCACACATGTCCTTCTTAGATGTTGTAGTTTGAGAAGTTGTACTCCTTGTAGTACTGAATGCATGGGCTGAAGTTTTAGTATTCAACCTGGAATTTAACAGGCAGGGGTGTGAATGCTTAGAAAGTAACTAGGAGCTAAACTCCAGCTAAGCCACTAAATCTGGTCAGCAGAGCACTTTCAAGTAGAGGTTGGGGTCCTTTGCAAAAGTCTTCCAAAGAAGTATATGAAAATTTACATCAGTAGTACATTATCAATTCTTTTAGTATATTTATCTAAATTCATATCAACAGTACTAAGTGCTATTCTGTAAGGAATGGTTTCATTAAGGAATTTTGTATTTATTTACTTTTTTCATATATAAAATACAAATGCAACTTGGTTGAATTTACAAGAATGACTGAATATCTTTCATTAATGTATGACTCAAAATTTTTCTAGAGCACCATGAATATTCTTCATCATGCAAATAGATGTATGTGTACTTTAGTTGAAATACGTAAATGCTGATGTCAGTCTGGCTACTTACCTGCTGAAAGATAAGCAATGAAAATCTAAAAAAGACAATCTGATCTTCTACATTCATATAAAGAAACATACAGCAGTCCTTCGAAGTCAGTGGGTTGTCTGCCACGCTTCTTAAAATGTCAACAATTTTATGTTTTGTCAGACACGCATAGGCTAGTATTTTACATTACTCTGCTTCCAGTAAGAATCTCCAATTCAGCCTACATGTGAGCCAAACTGCATTACCTGCTGGGTGGCAGGAACAGCACAAACTGGTGAGAAGGAGAGAGAGAGAGGGAAATGGGGATTTTACCAAACTAAAAGGCAAGAAGTGTACCCCAGGTCTCAAGAAAAGGTAACACTTCTTGTCCCAGTTCTGTTCTGCATAATCATTCAGATAAATAACTTACCTTGAAAGTTGTTGTCCAAATTAGATCCTTGATTGGGTGCAATTTATTAACATTTTGCCTCTGTTGCTGAAGTCAGATTTCAGTTAGTCCGCAACAGGAGATGTATGATAAATATTTCGTAAGTGCTTCAAGACTAGAATCAGGTATTTCAAAATACTATCGGCAGGCAGAGTGCTGACTCCCACTGGCTTCCAGAGAGAGGTGGAAGGAGCAATGGTCTGCCCCAAACTACCTTTACAATGGGGAAGCCAGTACACCTCCCATGGTAAGAAGTATGCTCTTCATAGTATCCAAAGATCCTATGAAATATTCCCTAGCCTAAAGGATCTTGTTTTGCCCACTGGCAGAAGAGGGAGCCTAGAGAATCTTTGCAAATTCCGTTTTTAGCTTGCTAAAAGTTTAAAGCAAGAATAATACATGATTCACAGGTGTGGTTTGGTGCTCAGTTTTTCAGATAACACTGAGTTGGAGTGGGTGTGTAAAAGAAAAAAAACGTATAAATCTCTTGCTTCCATGTCATTAGGTGCAATTGAAAGCTACTTTTGATGAAAAATTATATTTGGCAAGACACTCTAAAACATTTAAGGAATGTTCGTATTATTTCTATGTGACACATTATAAAGAAAGTGCCGTAGGCAGTGCTGAAACATGATTTGATCCAACCTTCTATTCTCAAGGACCTTATTTCCAAAAAATGAGTGTATCACTCTGTTCTGCTTTCAAATGAGCCTCTAGAGATAAACAAGAGAGTGACAGCTTCTACAGACAAGGCCTGCATTAATTGTTTTTCAGGACTACAAGTAGAGGGCCTCTTCAGAAGGTCAGCCAGCATCCAGACTATCAAAGATGTTCAGAAACTCTACAATCAGGGTAAGCTATCATCGTACCATCACTAGTAATAGCGTGAGGGCTTTGTTGATCTTAGTTTTGTTGGTGAAGCATAAATGCTACTTTTCTTATAATTAATCACAAAAACCTTTGTAACATAGAATAATAAGAGCACTAGTACAGAAACCTGAAAGGCAGCAACAGACACCTAATGCTTACTGAATAGCAAGTCATCAGTTGATGTCAGGCCAGAGCTTACAACATTTGTAGCAGCTAATGAATGATAAGGTAAAAGTCAGAAATGGTCTTTTTTTTTTCCTCCAGAACATTAATATTGCCTTTTTTTCACTATACTGTCATTACGAAGTACAATATCTCTGTCATTTTGCCTCTTGTGTTTTTTTCCATGGTTATGGCAAGGAAATATTTTTTTACCTAATTTATGAAATAAAGTGAAGTAATTTTGAAAGTCACTGACTTCCCTATGAAGTCATTTTATGAAATGCCTTTATGGGGAAAATCTCTTATAAAAAGATTAATAAAACTCTATGAAAAATACAAAATAAAATCCCAGGAGTTTAGCAGCAGACAGCCAAGAGGTTTTCTGTTCAAAATGTACAGTTTTTAACAGTGAAACAGTTTTAAAGCAGTAGTTTAAAGAAAAAGTAAAACGTATGATTGAACACCATTTTTTCTTCTTTTTCTCCTTTAAGGCAAGTCAGTGAATTTCGATGATTATCAAGATATCCATATTCCTGCTGTTATCCTAAAGACTTTCCTTAGGGAACTTCCTCAGCCATTGCTAACATTTGAGTGTTATGATCATATCATTGGAATAACAAGTAAGTATAAATAAGTTTTAGAAAAATTTACGTAGCAAGTTCAAGTGGACCAGGCTAACGCACAATCACTGCTGTTTGGTAACCATGACATAGTTGTGGGTATATAATGTTATCAGTGCTTCACTGCTGCCATGGATGGACAACCTCATAATCTGTGCCAGAGCAAAGTGGTCAGGTTTACAAAGACACTTTCTGCCTTTTACAAGGTTTAGTGGTTTATCTGCATATCATGCTGTATTATTAAGAATCGGATCAGACTTCTCACTGTGAGGGCTCCATTTTTATGTCATGGCACAGCACTGAGTCAGTCTCAGTGATTCAGATTATGTCAAAGCAGCTTTAGTTTTAGTAGCAGGATTGGCAGAATTGTGGAAACAAAATTTTTCGGAGGAGATTGTTTTCATTGCAACTATTCCCATGAGATAACATATTGGGGAAGAAAGAATCTAAAGCCGGGAGAAGACACTGATTAACGAGAGATCTGACACCACATGAAACTATGAATTATAAAGCTTCAGTTATGTGGCCTTTGTAAGGGACTAGAGTTTATAATGCTAGCAGGGTAATCCCCTAACACAGGGGACTTGAATATCTGAGATCCCAGAGTATCTGGGAGTTAGTACCTAGCACTTGTAGAGACTGTTTTTTGCCATCCAGGCAATAGACAAGCTAGCAGGGAACCCATAGGGCTCCCAGTCACAACTCACAAGCATGCATTTTCCCCCGACCTGCTTTTTGAGGAAACTGTCTAAATGGAGTATGGCTTCCAACTGAGTCTGTTAGCATACCTCTGGTAACCACAGACTGGTGCTGTTCGAAGTGTAGGTAATCATCACTTATAATGACTGTTGCTGTTGGGGCAGGGCACTAAAATAATTCAGACTGGGGATATATCTCAATTGCTACATGTTTGTAAAGTGTGGAAGTACAGCAAGTATGCTGTAGCTAGGTATACTGTATTCTAGGAAAATTTCTTACCCTGTGCCCAAATAAATACAAAGATAGAAGGAAGAAATTCTTCACTATGAGGGTGGTGAGACACTGGCACAGGTTGCCCAGAGAAGCTGTGGCTGCCCCATCCCTGGCAGTGTTAAAGGCCAGGTTGAACAAGGTTTTGAGCAACCTGGTCTAGCGGAAGGTGTCCCTGCCCATGGCAGGGGGCTGGAACTGAATGATTTTTAAGGTCCCTTCCAACCTGAACTGTTCTGTGATTGGACTTGCTATGAAGTGTGATGTCCACTATCTTTTCTTGATGCTGTAGTGATATCCTGTAAAATATCCTAAGTTTGAATACAGTGCAGAAGGGAGCTTTGAAGATGTGTGATTGCAGACAGCTGTCATGGTGATTTGAAAATTCTTATTCTGTCTTGCGGAAGACACGAGAGCAGTGTTATGATGTATCTATTACAACTCTTAACCTGCAAACCCAGGAATAGAGTATCTCTGCTTTCCAGTACTTTGAAATCATGGTGCGCTTTTTTCTTTAGTGTCTTCTATGAAACATGTTTTTAAAGAGTTATTGATGGGACCTGTGAAATAAATTAGCTGAGTGATGGAAAAATTAATAAAATCCTGAAGCTTCTAATTGTCAAATAACTTCTTTGGTCATGAAAACTGCTAACAAGAGTTCCTTTAGCCAGTATACTAAACTTCCTGCATTATTTACTCTGTGGAAGGCTGACAAAAGTATTTGGCTTAGATTATTGTGTTTTATGGGAGCTGGTAGCTTTGCAGTAGGAAAAATGTCAACACGGCTCACCATAGTATAGTTTCATGTATTTAATTCAGAGCATAAGGGAACATTTAACATGCTGGAAGTTTGTGCATGCACACTTTCTTATGCATGCCTCTAGCTGTGTCAGGGAGAAAGAAATGCAACAAATGTAGAAAAACCATCAGAACAGATGGGCTGGTTAGGTCAGGGATGATCAGACCTTTTTCCAAATTGGTGTTAAACTTTCAGTACTAAAATAATTACAATATTGTTCAGAAAAAAAAAAAGAAAAAGACACTTGGTACAGCATTTGAAATAAAGTCCAGAGTTAGTATAATGCTCACCCAGACTGTCTACATGGTGCAAAGAGTTTGGGGTCCAGATCTGGTTTTGTCCACTTGTAGAAATGGGTTAATGAACTTGTTTAGGTTAATCTCTAGAAAATTCTTACCCACTCAAGTGACTTTCTAATAAATATTTGCCAAGACAAATATTTTTCCTTCAGAATCATAAAAGTGTTTTTAAAGTTAGTAAAGTGCCAGAAATGTGTTTTGGGCAGGACTATGTCTCAGCAAGAATAAAATCAAAACATAAAGAGTAGATGTCTGGATTCAACGTGTAGAGAGATAATAGGATTCAAATCAAGACCTTTGAAAGTTCTCTCTAGCAAATACATTATTTTGGCTATTTCACTGAATCAGTACTCTGGAAGTTAGTCTTAGCCAGATACGTGATAATACAAAGTAAGATAGGGACATTCAAAGGGATAACTCGAACTGCTACTGTGATTGTGGATGTCAATAGAGCTGAATTTTTGGTCAGTTTTACAGACAGCTATCTAAAGTAATTCCAACAGATACACATAAGGTATTATTTCTGGTAATATTTTGATGTTTTGGAGTTAAGACCGAACTGACTTTGACATTGCAGGTGTGGAGAGCAGTTTACGAGTCACCAGATGTAAACAAATCATTCAAGGACTTCCTGAGCACAATTACGTTGTTCTGAAGTATCTGATATGCTTCCTTCATCTGGTGAGTGTAAGCAACATTTCCAAAATAGCACTGGTCTTTCATTTCCAAACCTGTTCTTGTTAAATGTAACATGTGACATCTCCACTGAGTAGTTTAGAAAGGACGGTGAGATTGTTGTGCAGTACTTGCCTATGGAATGAACTCCAGATGCAGAGCCCTCCAGTTCTAGTAAAAGTTAGTGCTAAACAATGATCTGACCATCCCTTTCCCATGAAATTCTTTACATGTAATGAAAACTACTGGGTAAATTTTAGTAGAACTCTGCCTGCACTGGAATATGTAAAGTTCTGTCCTCTCCACTCTGTGAATGTATGTTTTTATTGATTTAGGTTTGGGTTTTTTTCCTATTTTGGAGTGAAAAAAAAAAAAAAGTCTGAAAAAATGGTTGTATAATTTTTGATGCCAGAGAAAAATTAGGTGAAATCACCTTTTTCTCCAAAGTATAAATCTTGGGCAATTAAAACAACAAATAAATTAGTGTCATTTTAGAAAATGGCAAAAATATTGATAAGCTTTAGAGAAACAGTCAGCAAAATATTTTGTATTAAACCTTAAAAATAACATTTTGCTATTTAAAATAGCCTTTCATTCTGTAATTTAATAGAGTGTTAAATGAAAAACTTGAAACATGCCATTTTGCAAGGATTTTTGGTATGATTCAGATTAATAAAATTATATATCTTTTGTCCTACATTTTGATTTGTTAATTTTCTTTTTTATCCCAGTTTTTGGAATCCCTGCAAGTGTAAGGGTTTGGGGAAAACCCATTACAAACAGTTCTAGGGTTAGCTTAGTGACATCCTTTTGTTGCCAGTTTATGTGCAGGAAAAGATAGTAATTTCCCTTCCTTCTGCCTTATCCAATGCATTGCCTCCTCTAGATTGCGTTTTCCAAATTCAGATGCCTAAAACTGAGGATCATGGTACAGCTGACACCTAAATAAAGTGATCTGGCCTTCAGAAGTCTTAATCACCCACCAAAGCAGTGTATGTGGAATGACACTGATTTTCACCAGTGAAGAAATTAGCCCTCAGTAACTGTTTTAAGTTACAGTCATGTTTTCCATATTCTAGTCAATAGCATATTTCAGAAACAAGTACATTTAATCCCTTTTTCTATCGAAATGCTAGAGAAAAGCAAGATTAAAGGAAACACATTGATACACCCTCACTCAGACAGCACTTGCAAGGTTCCTGTAATACCCGCATGTTCATTTACTGTTGCTTAAGCTGAACTCTAATGCTATGAAGGAAACACTCATGTCATTTGCTATTATTTTAGCAACTATATCTGTCCTCAGTGTTATGAATTGTGTAAGTGACTTTATTCCAATAATAGATGCACCATCTCAATGCACTTTTTAACAGCTGAGCACTTGAGGTGTTAATGAGGTGTGCAAAAGCACTACATAGTGTTTTCTGTAATTGGGCAACAGAACATAGCATTATTTTTGAGTATGCCTTGTTAGGTAAAGCACAGCATCAAGTTGATATTAGTGCTCAGATCTGCAATTTTTGCTGATCCATGGTTTTTCATCCTTAATATCTCAGGGAATATTTGCATTTGGAAAGGTCAAGGGAACATGAAACAATCTAGGAGCTAGAGACTTCTATTCATTGCAGATTGGTGTGCTGCACAAGCTGCCACAATTCAAACTTTAACAGACCACTCTACCAATAATCCTAGTTTTTACCTGCAAGCTTCAACCTTTTCACGTATAAGAGGCAATTTAATTCTTCCATGAGCTCATCCTTGAGTAGTGCAAGAGGTACTTGTGATAATTTCATGAAGTGGGATGAATTGTAATCACTAGATGCAGGTTTTGAACACTCGAAGTTTGATACAGGCTTGTGGGAGACAGGGGAAATAAAATCCCTATTTTCTCTGGAGTCTCAACCCCCTTACTTAATGAAACAGCTCCTTCTAGTCCAAGGAACTTGGAGCTGAAGTAGTGCTAGAGACAGTGCTACTCCTACAGAAGTAACAGACTTGAATTTCAGAAATAGGTCCAAATCCTTTAACCTTAGATTAGCAGTGATTTTGCCAGCTATTAGCCCAGAGCACTGTGAAAGTGCTCTGTGATAAGCTGCCCATCTCCACTTTGCAGTGCATCTGATCGCTAGAGAGGGATTTGCAGTGGACTCTTGGAGCTGCAGTTGACTGGGGTCTTTAGGCAGAATTGGGCAACCAGGAGCAAGAGGGAAAACAAAGGCCATTTTCACAAGTTAGTCCCTGAATTATATCTGTACAAAACATCAGTGCTTGCTAAACCAATTTCTCAAAAGGTGGGTGTGCTAACAAGTGTTCCACAAGCCCTGTGTTGCACATGCAGTGAATGCACATGCAAACTTTAAGGGCTCAAAGAAGCCTTCTTGCAAATCGTTTGGCAAAGCAGTCAGAGAGCTACAGTTATCCAGTTCTGAATCCAGAAACCATTTAATAGAAAACTGTAATTGTACTTTCCACAACACTCTAAGACTAAATAATCAGGAATGTTTGTAGAGACAAAAATATAATTTAGATTGTGGTTTTATAGCCGTGTCTTTGGTTTTGGTACCAGCTGATACAGCCCCCTCTCTACACTTGCACACTTTCCCTCTTTGCTGCTTATTTCTGTCCCTGCAGTCACGCCTGATGCAGGGGAAGGGAGGCTGAGTTGGCTGAAAGAACCACTGCAAAAACCTGCCAAATTCAAAATGTTAGTCTTGGACCATCTAGAAGAAATAGACAGGGTTTTGGGGCCCACAAGCTATGCTTCAGATCTGTAACTGAAGCACCAAAGTTAAAGCCAAATGCACACTGGGAAACAAAAAAAAATGCTCTGAATTACTGTTTTGTCTCAATTGCTTGTCCAATTGAAAAGTGTAATTAAGCACCAGCAAAGCTTGGGGGTGGCTGGAGATGACAGGGCATGTTGGGAAGGATTAGATGACTAAGCCTCATGGAGCAGACACAAGCAGTTGGCATGTCTGCAAGGTAGCTGAGAGTGGGGGATAGAAACTTATATTTCCAGTCAGTTTGTGGGGGTGTTTTAATATCTAGTAATTTTCTTTTGAAAATGTTTTGTGGGGTTCCTTTCAGCATTGAGACTGAGAAAGGCAAGAGATGGTGATGTCCTTACCATTTTTAAAGTGTGATAGTAATTGGCTGTTTCTACCTTCTGCATTTCACTAAGTTCATTAGGTAGTATAGTGTCTGTCTGATATTATAAGTGGCTGTCTCCTGCAGTATCTGTGAGAGTGCAGGGATGCAAATTTGTGGAATCCAAAATCATCACAATTTTTCTGGGATGAACTTGGTATTTATTTTGGCATAGTGAGGATGTATATTTTGCATTTGTTGATGTGGCAACATGCATTTCTTCCCAGTGATGAGTTTTACAATGTACATGTATTATTTTTCCAGAGGACTGTCTTTCAATATTGGCTGTCATTAGTTAACTGTTTTTTCTATACATGTTCCAATGAAGGGGGAAAGCCAACAGAGTGGAGCTGTGTAGTTCTTTGTTGTAATATTTTTCGGTCATGTTCAGATGATCCCTTCAAAGATATGATCTAGGTCCTTGGAGAATTTTCTTTTATTAGCTTGTCAAAGTGACAGATCAAGTATATTTTCAACTGAAACTGAGACAAGGGTTACTAACTTTGTGAGGGAATCAAAGGAGTCAAGGGGATTAGTCCAAATGCTAAATGTGATTTGTATCTCTTGGATAGAAAGTAGCTTTGGGGTGCAGTTATTTAGAAGAATAGCCCATGAAGAGGTTGGCTGACTGCATGCTGCCTTTACATGGTCTAGTTTTGGAAGAAAAAATCAGCTGCTCATCATGGTGTTGTAGATGAAGTAGATGTGTTTGTGTCATTCAAGAAAGAAATCTGGCATTGGAGTAGTGAGGGGGGTGAAATGATGTGTAGCCCAATCCCCTCAGGGAGGGATAAAGCCATTACCACTGTTGTGACAAGGTTTTCCTGCTTGCAGCTCTTGGCAAGTCAGCAAAGACTATTGTGGAGAGAGCTGGAATCAGTTACATACTTTTTCTTGCATCTGCTGAGGAAGGCATTGCTGTGCATTTTGGAGTGAAACAAGGTGCCTGTGTCTCTCTTGAATTCCTAAGCGTCAACTGCAGTCATGACTCACAGATAAGATTTAGTGTAGCTCTGCTTCAGATGATGGGGAATGAAACCTGAGTTACCAAGCAGAGGGCAACTGGAGTTTGTGCGTATGCTAAGAAGTGTTCACATAATCACAAAGTTTTTAGAGATTTTCCTCTAGTGTCCTCAGGCTTTTCATAGTACTACAGAACTGCTTTTTCAGGAGGCACTCAGAAGGAGAATTTTTGCTTTCCTATTCCACTTGACATTGTAGCTGAAAGAATACATGAGAGATTTTGTTCAATAATTCCCTGTTCTAAGACGACAGCTTCAGAGTAACAGTTTGTGACTGCATAGTCTTCCATGAAAGATTACTAATCAACAACTGCAGGCATCAGCCTGAGAAGAACTGAATTACCTTGGTCAGGAAGAATCAAGAGCACCTTTGGTTTCCTGGCTCCTTACAGTAGCAGAGAACTTCTCAGACAGCATGCCCAGGCCATATGGGGTTTAGGATACCCGTCATGCTGTGCAGGAGAGCAAAACACAGGCAGATTCTCTGCCAAGCTCACACAGAGAAAAAAAATCATATATACTGCTACCCAATTGTGAGCTCACATTCACAGATGGAAGTAGAAAACATCATCCAGGTGCAGAACAGGTTTCAGTAGCTCATTATCGCCTCCATTGCTTCAGAGGAATTGGATGGATGTTGAGGTACTTAGGAAGTGAAGTCATGCATCCGTGGGAGAAAAAAAAATCCTTCTAAACCCTTGCAAACAGCTCCAGAATTCCTCAAGGCTTATTCTTTAGGGGACTTAGTACTGAAGCAGATGGGGTAGCTGTTTATGCTGTCCTTCCCCTCCCCTCAGCAGAAAACAATAGATTCCATATAGAAGGATTGGAAACAGTTTTCGTAGCATAAGGAAACAGTTCAGCTTTTTTGCCTGGCTTACTGACATCTTATGTTGTACTTGAGGAACACAGACTCCAGTAGCCCCATAGCTCAAGGCTACATAGTCAGCCCTGAGGCTGTTAATAAGCCAGCGATATACTGTGGCCAGGGTCTACTCCCATCATTGGTTTATTCTCAGTTCAGGATGGTGTCTCATCTCTCACTCTCTTGGGCATGTGTCTGCATACACCTGTTCATGTTTATATTTTCCCAGGTTTCACAGGAGAGCATATATAACAGAATGACAGCATCCAGCCTGGCCTGTGTCTTTGGTTTGAATTTGATCTGGCCATCGAAAGGAACAGCCTCTCTGAGTGCTCTGGTACCTCTGAATCTCTTCACTGAACTACTGATAGATTTCTACATGAATATATTCAACTCCCGAACAGTGCCTGGTGAGATCTTACCTTAATGCTTCCAGAAAGGACAATGGAGAATGTGACTGCATGAGGGAAAGGTCTCCATGCCTCAGCTGGTGGGAACTATATATTCAGGGTTCTCTCCTGTGAAGAAAACTTTGCAGAGTAAAGTATACAGAGTAAAGTTTCTTAACTTTCCAAATACCAAAGATACTGGGAGGAGCACACTGCCCCACATATTCTTGTCAAATATGGGAGAATATGTGCATGAGCATTCAAAGCCCAGCAGGTCAAAGTGAATTTCCTTATTAAAATTGAGCAGCTTACAAAAACTGGTGTATTAAAAAAAATCATGACACTGTGCCAGTCTTTCATGTCTTTGGGGATCTGGAGACCTTACTGTGTGGCATCATTTTCTGCATGGGCAGAGCTAAATTCTGGATCACTCCTGAATGTACAGCTTTCTTCATTTTTTTTTTTTGTTTGGATTTTAATTTTGTTATTTGAATACAAGTTTGTTAGAAATTTTACTATTAATAAAGATGGAATCAATTTTTAAGATACTAAAATTTCTAAACTATTTTTTTCTATTTATTTAAGTGTCTTGTTTTACAGAAAAAGTTGTGGGCAGTTGTGGCACATCAGGTTGCAATTAGCATGGAGAATAAAGTGTTTCCTGGGTAATTTGAGTTGTGCAGACAGCTAACTAATTATGCTTGCAAATATCTAATATATGCAGTTAATCACTGTAGCTGCACATGGAAAGTGTGTGGAAGTGTTTTTCCTTCTTATAAATTCTAATGAGGAGCAATAATCTTATGTTTTTTTCTCTAAATACTTGGAATTTTCATCAGTGGAGTTATACCAGTGAGTGAATAATATAGAATATAGACTTAACTTTGAGAAGAGTACCCCTAGTGTTTGGGCTGCATGCTTTTGCAGTTTGAGTTGATAGAAGTTTGCTCTTCAAATCAGTTTCTCTAGAAAGTAATACGAGCAACAACCTGGATAATGTACCTAATATCATTTTTATACATTGAAAGTCTATTATAAGTCCCAATGTGAATAATTAACCAATGTAAAAGGAGAATTTCAGTGTTTTCTTTCTAGCTATTCCATTAATAATGCTTATATTTGATGTACTCTAACATGCTGCTATGTAATTTTTTAACACTGATTGGTAATGGGGTGGTGTAACAAAGTTATCATAATAGCCTGCAAAGAAAAAGAAAATTGACCAGTGGTAAAAAAAAGGCAAGTAGTATTTTCCCTAATGCTCTGTACAATGCTAACAAAACAGAGTGACTATTTAGACTTCAGTAGAAGCAATAGTGTCAGGAGATCAATTTAGGCATTCTCTCCTCTGCAAACACAGAGATGCTTTTTATCCTGTACGTTCTAGCTAGTTGAGGGTGTGTACTTGTGGCTTTCTTCTTAGCAGTTACGAATTGCCTGCCTGTGTAAAAGGTGCAACAAAATCTTCTTGCAGAGGGTAAAGAGGATTTGTTCTCATCAACAATTTCAGGAAATAACCAAGTATTCAGAAGGCTGGATGTGCCAGGCCTTCATTTGCCCAGTAGGTGTCATCTACAGCATTAGGCAATGATTAGCATTTGAAAAAATACAGAGGCTTTAGCACAAGATGTATTAAGACCAACTTCTCAATGTCACAGTTGTGGTTTATTTCCTAGCTTCTCATGTGTCTTAAAGACAACTTTTTGGCCTTTGAACATCTGGAAGTAATAACGACCTATGGCTCCCATAGCCATCAATTAACAAGTATTCATAATTGTTGCTTTTCAATAAAATGAGATTCCCAAGACTAGTTTCCAATGCAGCTCATCAGTTTCACATCTGAATTATCATCAGTGATAGTATTCTAGCCTTGTATTAGGAAAAACAAACAATTTTGCTTAGCACTGCTTAGTGATTTAGCAGCATGGTTCTGTGCATCAGCACACTGTACTTACAGGGGAGGAATTTGGCCTCTTGGAATTAACAAAACCTGACTATTTTGCCACTCTCTGACCTTGGTCAAAAAACACATATGTTAGTTTTGATGTCTGTAAAAAGAAAGAATATCTGGTATTAGAAAACTGCTTTGGGATTGAATGATGGTAAGTCCTATAAAATGGTTGTTTTCCATTTCACCTATGTCCTTTTCCAAAAATCTAGCAACATCAAATGGCATTTAATCTTCAAGCTACGCTGCATAACGGGAATGTAAATCCTAGGTAGTTTTAGCACAGTAATGTACCAGAGCCCTGTAGAGTGAAATCCTGAGTTCATGGAAGTCAGCTTTGCTCAGTAAGTTCCCAGAGCCTGGGGACAGGGTCCCCTGTAGATTTAGTTTTCCAACTCATCCTAGGTTGTGAGAGGGTGGGAATTCTGCAGCAGCAGTCATGCTGGTGAAGCAAGCCTTCAGGGCGCAGCTGCCTCTGAACCCTTTACTTTTACAAGTAAAAAGTTCAGGCAGTGAGCATCCCTTCAGCTAATTTGCCTGCCTGTAGACACACAAGATGATAGTTAAAGCCAAACTCACTCTTTCAGTATTGGTCACATGCCAAACTGCAAGTCTTCCTTTTAGTGCTTTGTAAACTACTATTTTCCAGCAGTTTATAGCTCCTCTCATTTAGTGAATGAAAAACAAAATGGCGTTTTCTCATCTCAGGGTACTTTCTTCTTTTAAAGAACAGATAACATCTGTTATCCGTCAGTGCGGGTAATCTGATGCTGCTTAAGAGACTTAGAAGCTCTGATTCTGATCGCTGTTAGCACTGGCGGAGGCAGAGGGACAGGGAGCTCCTGCACCCCTTTACCTTCCTGCCTTCCCATCCGGCAGTCTGAGACAGAAATAAGGAAGGTACTTGCTTCTACTCCCGCTTTTCCTTGCAGTCCTGCCTGTCACAGGATGAAACTTTCCCAAATCAAAGGCACCTGTATAGCAAAACCTTCCTTGTGATGAAACCTCAGCTCTGTTTCCCCTACCCCGAAGGAACTGGTGAAATCCTCCATCTGCGGCAGCAGCCCCGGACCTCCGTCCTGAGTGCCAGACTTAACTATGACATTAAATCAGCTCTCATGAATTATTCAGAAGGGTTTGGAGTTAAATTCATGTTAGAGAAATGTATGTTTCAAATTTCCTGACTCTAAGAGGAGTCCTGGAGGTGTCCCCTGCAGTTACTTTGATAACAGTTTCTCTTTACAAATGATAATTGCACAATTCCAGCTTTTGTACAGTGTGGCCTTGTGAACTCTTCTCTCCTATCAAAGAACAATTTTCAGATCATTTCCATAGCAAAAAGAAAGTGATTATGGAGATAATCTGTTGGAAACACACATGCTGGATTTCAGTTTAAAACAATAAAATGCAGCCATGGAATGAGAAATCAAGTGTTACCTAGCTGACAATATACAGAGAATAAATTGCCTAAGCATTTTAGTTTACTGAGCTGTTAGGAGCTGAAAATTGGTCCCAAGGTTAGTCTGATTATCAGGATGCCTCCAGCAACAAGCATTGAAGGGGGAAGGGAATACTTTTCTACCCTGAATCCATGAAGAAATGTAAGAAGATTGAAAAATGTCATTAACCGAGGGGGGTCTTTACAGTTCTTACAAAAAACTTCCATCAGTGAATATCACTTAACATATGTGCAGATGATCTGTCTGCGTGAGCGGCACTCCTCGGGCAGCATCCCTTGCAGAATCTCTCAGAGCCTTATAAACTTTAATATATTCATCTACTCGTGAGGAGACTAATAATAGAAAGGGCCCAGATAGTTTATTCACATGTTCAGTGTATATTTAGGTTACAAGTTGAACTTTCAGTGGGATTGATAACGCAGTCACCCTTCCTCCCCCTCCTTCGTTTCCTGCATAGTTTGTCTTCACAACCCTGGGCAGGTTTGGCAACATTCCCACTTTTCAAGCGACCCTGGGGGTGTTGGAGAAGAAAGTCAGAGGGAGTTACTGTAAGCACCTGTGATTTGTGAGGTGAGAATCTCATGTTCAGTTGAAGTTCTACTGGACAGTCGTGTTCCTGCTGACACTCGATTAATTTCTAGTATGTTTTTACCTACAAAGAGAAGTCATAAGCAAACGTACCCTGCTTTTAAGTAAGCACCTCCTCACTGAAGCCAAAAAATGGTATGGCTGTGAAAAGTATGTAAATATGCTATATGTGGTTGGTGTGTGAAAGGTATTCTGCCTTTCCCAGTGGAGTAATACTCATTTTCACCACTTTTTCTCTTTATCCATGCATATGCTGGAAAGCCATTTCAGTGTATTGCACCTAATGTAGTAAAGGATTCCAGTGTCCTCCAGCATCATCCGAGAGCAGTAGAGATTGTAATGGGGTACTACAAATGCTGTCTTCTTTCTTGCAGACTGGAAAGCTTGAGAAACGACTGCCTTAACCGATGGGATTTCTTTGGGGATATGATGGTTCACACGTTCTCCTGTTTCTTCCTAGCTGGGGTCTGTTGCCTGTTCTCCAAAGCACAGCTCAGTCTACTATCTGCTTTATTTGCTTTTGCTTTGATCTTGAGAAACTTAATTAAGCTACTGCTCATCCTCCTCAAGCCTTACTTACAGGAAATCAGGATGTCTGTGGTTTTTGGAGTTCTTTCTCTGTTACATGGATTGTGTTCCCCAATACTGAGTCGTACTCTCAAATTATTTTTGCACATCAACTTTTAATTGCCCACAAAAGCAGTTTACAGCCTCTTAATCTTCTGTGATAAAAATTATCCCCTTAATTAATGGGAAAATAAAAAGCAACTGTAAACTGCATCAAACTGCATCGTCTTTGGTGTCTTAACTGGATTTCTGCAGCAGTCATGGAAGAGTCTTTGGATGGGTGGATTTTTGACACTTCACCTATGAATCTCTTGACCCAAAAGTCTGCAAATAGTAAGGGCTGTAGTAATGTACTTAGCTTTTCTGCTTCATAAGCTTCCAAAGAAACATGTTCTCCCCTTGCTTCACCTGCCAGTGTTGGGTTTGTTGTTTTGTTTTGTTTTTTTCCCTATGTATTTTCCACTCCTTCAAAGCTGCATCCTCTGCCTATTGCCATTTACATCCTTCTTCATTTGCAGTCTGTCAGCGGATGGTGCTCACACTCATGCACGTACCCTCTCACTGTGCTTTTATGGGGACAGGAGTTGTCTGAGGCTCTTGTGGCCATTCTGTGGCTGGATAGACTGAATTGAACTGGCAGGATGTTTGGTTCTGTGGGGAAGTTTCACGTTGCAGTGTTTGAGTGAGTGAAATTGCCCAGATCATGTTTCCCTCATCTCTGAAGCAGAAAGAGGTTTATGCTTTTGATAACCAGATTGAACTTTAGTATCCAAACACTGGAGTTGAAGGCAAAAAGAAGTTAGGAAGATCTTTCCCTTTCCATATTTCCCACTACTTCCAGCCTTCCAGTACTACAACAGTGCATATATGAAATGCAACTGCAGCCAATGTCCAGTAAAGCTAATATTCTGTTTAATAATCATGGCCAGAATAGAAACAGCACCTCATCAGGCTGCATAGCTCTCTACCCTGAACACGTGCACAGAGCTGA